CCTTGCGCCAGTATGGTAACTGTGCAGCATTAACTTCCTAGATGAGAAAGTACGACTGTAACCGTAGAAGATAGGGATCAGCACAAAACTGAACGCTTTCTTACATCAATCAGCTCCTGGACTTGTTTGGATTTTGCCTTGAACTTTTCAGAGTCCATGGCTATGTTTTTATTCGCCGAGATTTCTTCTGATATGGTCTGAAAATAAGAGAGGCTATGAATAATGAGAGGTTTCATTTGGAAATCAAACTCAAAAAATGAAATTGCTTCAGGTAAAGCACTAATTCCTAATTCGAATCGGGCTCAAGCATCCGTATCCTTCCGATAACAAAAAGCTATTCAATATTCATCAGTGAGCATAAGTCTATAAAAATAGAGAAAACTAGGTAAGTTGGAAAAAAATTCTGTTATTAAAAAAATAGAAGTGCAACATTCTGACTATTAACCTTGACCCTTGCTGCTAGTCTATCTGCTCGATGAATCGCTCTTTCAGCTTCTGGTCCCGACAAAGCTACAATCCGTCGAATTCCTTTGGCAATAGCTTCCTCGGATGAGATTACCATATGTCCGATATGTCCGACGTTGTGGAGATGCCTATAGAACCAAAACATGGCTTTCCTAGCTGCCTTCATTCACGCGGAAAAGGGAACTTACGTTCCTCCACAGAATTCCACCGTTGTCTTCAAACCGGCACCACTTTTCGGATTCGCCAGAAGTTCTTCTACTGGTACTCCAACGCATACCACTCTAACTGGATCAGGATAATTCTAAAAACTCAAGGATTGTAAAGCTCTCCGGTGTGATATTGAAAAGAAACATACCTCATCGAACATTGCTCTCAATCCGGATATTTCTCGGGCCTGGGGTAACGGAGCTTCTTTTGCGTAAACTGGTTCACGGGTGTTTATGATTGATTGCACAATTTCCTCAGCTTCTTTCACCTGGGTTTCAGGAATATATCTTTGGTCAGCTTAACAAACAAGTGCAGTTTACCTGCTTGACTGTCATCGCCTGTTTGTTGGTGAAATCGAATCGAAGCCGGTC